TTTTATATTTTCAAAGAAAAAAATTTTATTTTTTTCTGCTTAGAGGAATAACACTCGAACACTGAAAAACACATTGTTACTGAAAAGTATCCGATGCCCTATGCATCTCTGCATCTGTATCTTTTTAATATCATTTATAATAAACTAGTAAACATAAGTGCTTCCTTAAGTTCTGTGAGCTGCTCCAGCAAATTAATTGAACCCAAAGAGGGGGTTGTGGGAACCCCAGCTTCAAGCTGGTTGGTCAGAAGTTCCACAGGCCCAGACTTGCAACTAGTGTCTGAAGGTGAAGGACAGTTTTGGGGACTGAGCCTCAACTTGTGGGATCTGATGTTATCTCCAGGTAGATAGTGTTACAATTGAGTTAGAGGACACCCAGCTGGTGTTATATGAAATAATACTCAACATCACCAATTATCAGGGAAATGCAAATTAAAACCACATTGAGATATCATCTCACACCTGTTAGAATGGCAGTTATCAGAAAGACAAAAGATAAGTTTTGGTGACAATGTAGAGAAAAGAAAACACTTGCACGCTGTTGATGGGAATGTAAATTAGTGCAAGCATTACGGAAAACAGTATAGAGGTTCCTCAAAAAATTAAAAACAGAATTACTGTATAATCCAGCAATCCCACTACTAAGTACATATCCAAAGGCAGTTAATCAATATGTCAAAGAGATATCTTCACTCCCATGTTTACTGCGGCGTTTTTCACAATAACCAAGATATGGAACCAACCTGTTATAACTGTCCATCAGTATATAAATGGATAAAGAAAATGTGGTATGTATATGCAATGGAATACTACTCAGCCATAAAAACGGAAATCCTGTAATTTGCCAGAACATAGATAAACCTGGAGCACATTAAGTAAAATAAGTCAGACACAGAAAGACAAATACCTCATGATCTCCCTTACACATGGAATCTAAAGAAGTTGACCTCATACAAGTAGAGAGTAGAATGGTGGTTATCAGTAGAGTGGTGAGGAGGGGGTGTGCTGGAGATTGTACGTATTTACATACCATCCTACCCCGGTCATCCAGTTTTAGCCTCATTATCACCATATTCTACTAAACATTAGCCGCCTTCTCAGTTATCTACTGACCCCTGAACAGTTATTTCCCATTAATTCCTTGAAGATTATATCTCCTCACTTGTTCCCTTTCCAATAATACTCCTGTCATAATTGGAGGAATTGAGACATCAGGAGTTCGTGTCTAGGGAATATTTTTGCTCGAGGACTCAGGGAACGGTAAGGACGACTGTTAGTGCAAGACCATATTACCACCCAAGACCTTGAGATTGTGGGATTCGTTCCTCATTGTAAAAGTGTAATCAAAATAGCTCCAAGTAGTCGCAACACTTCCCCATGGAGGAGGAGCGACTAGGCCGTTTTTCCCTCCGCGTTCTGGGAAGCGTCCAGGCTCTGCCGCGCCCAGGCGCTTTGGTTCCGGCGGGCGGACCCGGGGAATTCTGGGAAGTGTAGTCCATACGCTCTTGGCGAAGCGGGCACTTCCGTTCCCGGAGCGCGGTTGCTTCCATTTTTTCTGTGCTGGTTTGCGTTATTGTCTGTCTCGCGGGCCCTTCTGAGTTTTTTGGACGTACACTTGGAACCGTCAATGAACCAGCTACCGATTTAGGGGAAAAGAAGCTACGGCGGAGGTTTGGAGGGGCGAGGGCGGTGGTTTGCGATCTCATCGGCGGAGCTTCTTGCGTTTGGGGCTGTCCTTGTATCACCGGGGGAGTTGGGGACTTGGTCGAGGGTGTGTCGCCTGATTTGGGGGTTTCTGGGACTCTCAGCTCGCCCAATC